AAGCATATTTCTCCACAATCCATAATTTGCCAACTTATACGAAAACCATGGTTTGGCTGGTCAAAACTATGATTTTCGTAAAAACTTTGGTTTTCCAAAAAATAAAAGGGTGTTTGGCAAATTTTTTTTCAAACCATGGTTTGGAAAAAAAAACCCAAACACCCCCTTAATCACCATACGAAATAATCTTATAAAAAAGCACCGGTATATAAAAATTACCAATATTCCAAATTATAATAGAACTTATTGAAAAATTCTTGCATTATTGGTTCACTTCATCACATTTGGTGAACGCACGTAGTGGATCCTTGGAGTTTGAATTTGGTGAACTCACATTAATTGTTTTTATTTTTTTTCCCTTTCTTCGGGAAAAAAATAGTCATGTGAAGTTAAGAAGGCTTTTCCTTTGGCCAACAGAAATAATATTTTATATACAGATACACACACGTATATGTATTTTATAAGGGTAGGGAGGTTGATTTCACCAACTTTAAGGAAGGCTGGTTTTCTTGTTGGACGGTTTCTGTGCATGTGAGATTTCATAATTTAGTATGTAGGAAATAAGACAATGTGAGATTCTAACATAGTTTTCATCACATAATTATTTTTCATAATCGAAAGGAATGAAATTTATTGTGCATTATGAAAAAAAAAAGGTTGAAAATTCTAACAGGAGAATTGGATTTAGTTTGCTTTACAAATTAATTATTTCCAAAGATTCTCTTTATTTTTTCTTTTTGGTAATACAAAGATTCTCTTTATTATCTTACTAGACATCATTTAATAAAATATTTTTTTCATTCTTAATAATGTATAACAAACATTTATAGCTTTTTCATCCCAAGTTCCATTACATTAATAGTTAATACTCCTCCGATCCTTAATATAAGACCTAATTATTGAGTTAATTTTGATCCTAAATATAAGATCTATTTATCATATTTATCAATTTTTTCTAAATTACTCCTATGGATCTCCCTCAACCATAATCAAGTAGAAGAGGGAGAGAGAATATTAAAAAAGATGATTATAATGTTTTAAAAAAACATATTATATTTTTTATAATTAACTAACTTACGTAACTTTCTTAATCTAATCAAATTAATTAAATAGATTTTATATTAAGGATCGGACGAGTATAATGTTACCTGTATATTTGATTAATTCTCAAATGTGGATTATATTTAACCCAATTGTAGTTGCAGCAGTTGCCTCTTCCTACCCAACTACAAGGAATATAAATACGATCTTAATATCCATTTAAATATAAATAATGTCTCCTTACATGTATTATGCCTTTTTTAATTAGCTAGTATATAGTAATGCATTTTTAATATATTGGTGGGTCAAGTTTGGCATTCTTTTTATCAATTTAGAATTTAATATATATAAATATATAGTTGTGTTTGATTTATAGTTATATATTATAACTATCACTTAACAACTTGTAGATTACATTTGGCAAATTAATTTGTCGGTTGATGCTGTTGTATTTCTTTTAATAACAAACCATTGGATATATGTGTTATTACCTCCGGTCCTTAATATAAAACCTTATTTGATTTTATTTTGATTCCAAATATAAGACCCTAATCTACTTTGTCTTTCATATTTATGTATTTTTTCTTAAAGTAGTCGTTCTAACAATGGTAGTTCTAGCCAAGACATTTGATTAGCAAAAATATTTTAGGAAAAACAACACATATTTATTACAAATAACTAACTTAACTTCTTTTTTTTAATCTCTTCAAATTAGTCAACTAGCTTTTATAATTAGGACCGGAGGTAGTATATCACTAATTTGGATTTGAGTTAAGTCTGATCATAGTGGAACACTCTCCTAATATTTTTCACAAATACTTGAATTTGAAATCTTATTTAAAAGGTATGGAGTTCCTACCACTCAATTTGATCGTTGTTCGCTATATATTGTGATGATTTTTGTTTAATGAAAAGAATCATATATCGTGGAAGAGTTTATTTAGTAGATCGGCCCGAAGATCAAATCAGGAGACAAGGAGAATGTTTAATTCTTGATTTTTGATTGTTGATTATATAATTAATACGTGAAAGCAGTCAGCTAACTTCCTATTTTCATTAATAAAAAGTAACAACGCAGCAAAAGAGGTTGAGCTGTCAAACTCTTGAGAGATTCTCTTAAATGTTTTCATATATTTGTATTATAAATAAAAGAAAATTTGGATTATTTGAATAACAGCATATAATGATATATTACCATTACTATCATCATCATTTGATGCAATTAGGATATTCATCATATAGTTTACATGTGTTATGAGATGAGTATTGTTTATGATCAGTAAATAATACTATTTCTGTGCTTAATGTAAGATCTATTTAATTAATTTTATTAGATTAATTAAATTGGTAAGTTAGCTTATTATAAGAAATATGATATGCTTTTTTCTAAAATATCATAATTATCTTTTTTAATATCCTACCTATCCTACCTCTATCGTTTACTTTATTATGAGTAAGAGAATATCAATAAAGATAATTTAAGAAAAATTAATAAATATGAAAAATATTTCTTATATTTATGATTGAGATTAACTCAATAATTTGGTTATATATTAAGGATCGAGGAGCACAAAAATATTGATTTAGATGAGATACACAATATATATTATTCAATTATAATTAATGTCTGTATAGTTTAAAAAGTAAAATTAAAAGCAGATAGGTTGCTTCCCCCACCCCCCGCTCTCGGAGCGTCTGTGCGTGTGTGTGAACATAAGAAAATTACTGTAGCCTGCGTTATATGTAGAAAAATATGATAGATTGGATTTTTTTTTTAATTTTTTACCACAAATATTGTTTATATTTATAGATAGAATTTCATAAAAAGGAATTAAAAAAGATCCACCCTAATAAATTCTGTGTCTATAAATTAAAACTCGCGACAATTAAATATCGTCTAAATATAATAGTAAAGTTTGGGTAATTAATGGCAGGGAAATAGACAGTGAATCTTACACGACCAAGTCATTGAAGATGATTTGGGTTACACAGGTCCCCCAAAAAAAAAAAAAAAACCAGGATGATTTGGGTTACCCAGGTCAGAAAAAAAGAATGATTTGGGTCCAGCGTATTACACAGTACACACCTCATCAAAATTAAAATATCTGCTCACATGGTAATTTTTGTAATGCAATTATTTGATATTTCTTTATTAGTGGATTAGATTTAAACACTGTCAACTCTAGTTAAATGTAATTTTCTTAATGTGATTTAAACTTTTAATTATATTTAATAAGAATAAATACTTTCATTAGACACAACCACTAATGTTATTAGTCTCTCATGGGTATAACCGTATAAATTTTACTGTGAGCGCGTAAAGTAATAATGTAAAATGCGTTGTTAATTTATGGGAATAAGGTCCAAAACATTAAAACAAGACCTATATCTATGGTCTCTCTTTTTTTTTTTGGTTGGGATGGCCCATATAGTACAGATAGTCTGTCATCGAAATTAAATTAAGAGCACAGAATTATTGTTTTAGTCTTCTGACAGATAAGGAAGAGGCTCATGTCCAGAATAAAAATTTAAACAGCAAATAATAAATAAATAAAATTAAATAAGACCATGATTAATTAGGTCAACTATAAACAGAAATAATCAAGAGTCAGACATTTCAACAACCAAAAGAAAATCTGCAGACAGATAGCACTTGATTTTATTGCTATTTCTTTATTTATCATAATACTCCTTCGGTCCTAAATATAAAACTCATTTTGTAATATAAATTACACTATAAAAGGGATCTTATATTTAGGACCGGAATAGTAAATAAAAACCATCCGATCTTTAAAAAAAATTCTCACATGTGGAAATGTTGTGCGCTAAAACTAGATGTGATGTCTACCAATTGATTAAGGATCCAACTAACTATCAAATTAGGTATTAATAGTCATATATTAGTTCTAGCTCTAATTATAAGACCTTGTTTATAGGTTACTAACGAGATCTTACAATTAAGACCAGAGGTAGTATGTTTCAATAATATATTTAAATTCATATAGTTATTAACATATATATATTTATAAAAGTATATCCATCGTGCATAATCTTTCTTAATTTTGTAACTGAAAAAAAATATAATGGGATGGAAAACCCCAATGTGATGTTGTGTTGTGCATGAGGTTCATCATGATGTTTTATGGCTGGGAAGTATTTGGAGATCTTTTTCTTGAGAGCTATCCTTCTACCAATGTCATTTCATTTTCACAATAACTAATTGATTTTATTTTATTTTCTTTCTTTCTTTCTTTTAAATTCGGCAATTATCGATAGGCTAGAGATATGTGGTTGACAGTTGACACAGTGATGAAAGGTGTGCGTGGTACGTGGATGCAGCATGTCCTTTTTCGTATATGAATATTTAACATTTTTTTTTCCATATAGGATACATATATTTTTCAGTGCGAAGAAAAGTAAGAAAAAATAATTAAAATTTTTTAATTTCACTTTTCCATCCCCCCCTTCTCTCCCATACCAAGCGAAGTATTAAGTGTATTTTGCCGGAGAAAAATGATAGAAATCCTTCTTGTTTGGATTTATTAGGAAGATCTAAACTTATAAACTCTATTTCAAATTACCAATAATCTTTAAATAACAGTTGGTTTAATTGATAAAAAGTCAATTCATAACATATAAGATTGTGAGATCGAATTTCATTACAGATGCAAATGCAAAGACATTATTGGTAAATAGGCTGTAAATATTTTTGTAAACATTATCCATACATGGAGGCATGCTTTAATTCTAATGAGCTCGTAGGATCTAACTTGTCTAAACTCTTTTATGACAAAAATAATTACTAATAATCCATCCTATTCCTATCTTTACTACTTGACTTAGTGAGACACCCCCTTATTTTTTTTCCCCTTTGTTCTTGATTATTCTTCATTGATTGGTATCAATTTTGGAGGCAACCAATAACGCAAAACTCAACATTTGAGTCCGCAAAAGGAAAAAAAAAAAAACCACCACTTTCCAAGAGCCAACGTATTAAAAGGAATACCGATTACATTGTGTGACCAAATTTAAAAGGGAATACATTGAAAATACTGCGTTAAAAATAAATTAAAAAAAAACAGTACTGCTAATTGACACAATAATGTTTCCCAAAAGTTAGGCATGCACATGAATGCAGTGCGACGAGGCCATGGCAGAGTAGTTGAATTCAGCGTTCATCGCCACTCCAGCTTGACTTCAACTTGGGTCCGGTGGGACCTTCTTCTCCGAACAACTCATTCGGCAAAGAATCCTGCAACTTCTGAAACCCAGATCTCAGATTCCCCGGCAACAACTTCTCTACCTTGTCCAGCTCCTCCTCTATCTTATAGCTTATATTCGGGCCCCATTTCCTCATATAATTCAGCCACGCCGGCTCCGTTACCGCCGACCCCAAATACTCCCCTGCTACCACCTCAAATCCCCTCCCCAAATCCACCAACTTTTCGCTCTTCGCCGTGTCGTTTCTTATCCCAATCGTCTTTGTTCCTTGAAGAACAAGCCCGGGTTTCGAGTACAACGCATGGCCGTTTAGGGAAGAATATGCGACGGGCTTGTTCTTACCAGGTTGGAATTCTAGCTCCGGCGCGTCCACCCATTGGCCTCCGCTGTGCTGGGAGAAGTATACGCTGTTTAACCCGCCGTTGAAGTTGCTTATTCTCAGTGTCAAGTGCTCCCAGTCTCCGATGTGTTCGCCGATTTGTCCCAGTGGGATACTATCGATGAGGACAACTTTGGCTGTCGATGGGCCGTTGAATGGGTAGAAAATCCAGATGGAAATGTCTGTGAATGTTGCTCCCAACATTGGTTTTATGTGTAAGTATGCTTGGAAGCTCTGTAAATCTCCTCGTTTGACCCTTTCTTTGCTGGTTTTGTCTACAGGAAGGTCCATCCAGTAAGCTCCATCGTTCTCTCCTCCTTGAGGAAGGTTAGAGCCAGATGGGTCTATGGCTACAGGATTTGATTCTTCACCTCTGGTATAGAGTAATGCCCCATTTGTGAAATACCACTTGACGGAAGAAGGAAGATACTTTTCAGCAGGATGAAGGTACATCAATGGAGCGTAAGCTTCCATTAATGCTTCAGCTTGGGAAAGGTTAGGCATGGAGGAGAAGGACTCAAGTTTGGTGTTTTTCAAGCAGGCTATAGAGAGAGTATTACCATTAGTTGCTCCATTTTGAGCAAGGAAAGTACCTGCAGGAACACCTGCAGCTGTAATCCCTCTAATGGTTGGTCTTGTGTTATAAACATTGAACCCACCTGAGTCACTGTTGCTCTTGCCTGGTCCCCAAATCCATGAGTGTGTCTCAGTTTGGTCTGTGAGGTCTGACCTGACACACCGGATTCTGTCGAGGGAAGGCTTCTCCGGCGAGGTGGTGACTACATGGCCGACGGCTTTATAGCCATCAGGAGGTGTCGGTAACCAGACATAGCCTGTGTTATCTTGCTTGATATCCAGAGACTTGCTGGTCCAAACCAGAGTGTAATCAACTGGTTCAGCCAGAGCCGCATTTTCAGCTGATGAATTTGCTACTTTGGCCACAAGAACCCATCCAAAAAGAGGCTTGCTGTTGGGCTGGGCATAGCAACCTAACATGAAAAATCCTTCAGGAATTGAAGCTGGTTCAAAGAAAGTAGCCCCAGCATTGCCAGCTCCTCCTTCAAAAGTTGTCCAAACTTTTTTGAAGCTTGAGACTTGAGACACTTGCAGGTCGCCCAGATCAATGATTCCGCTGGCAAATCCATCACCTGCACAGGAAGTAAGAACAATATAATTAGCCCCATGATGAGTCACACCAGTTACACAGAGACCATTTCCACCCAAATGTTTTACAGAAACACTGGAACCATATATACAAGAATACGAAGAAGAAAGGAAAATGTAAACCTTGGGGCCAAACTGGGATATCAGCAGGAAGCTTGAATGGAGAGTCAATGGCAAGAACTTCAGTTTTATTCGAAGAAGACCGGTTCCCCATTATGTTGAGTTTATCTACCTCAGAGGAGATCCAAATTTTTATGTATGGTATGGTGAACACGGCTGATTGGATTTGAATGTGTGTGTCTGTGTATATATATAAGGAAGCATATTCTTCTGAGAACTGTATATGTGATGATGAGGTTACAAAAGTCAACACGGAGATAAAGCTTACAAAGAGCCACCAATGAAAACGTGGGAGTTGGTCCTTTTTGAGGGAGAGTGTTGCCATTACGAAACATCTTGGTCTGCTTCCAAGTCGAGCATTAATTCCCTAGGAAACCTCATCGCCTGATTATTCTTCAGCTAAGCATGTTTATTACGTTGGTCTTTGTTTAACTAAGTCCAACAAAGTAATCATTTTTTATTTTTCCGCCAAAAGTAAGTGTCATCAATTGGCTGAACACGTCAACAAGCATGCTTTTATACATATAATACATGCAAGTATATATATACGTATGTTACTTGTGGTGCAAGAGCATTTCGTAACCGTGACATATAAATAATATAAAAAAACTATTTATGGAGAAATTAGTTTCTTCAAACTTTTGTGTTTCTGATCATAATTTGAGGACTAAATACTTTGGATCCCAACCCTATCCCTTTCTTTTGTTCAACGGCAATGTACACACAATATATATATATATATATATATATATATATATATATATAAATGGAGGGTGTGGAAAAGAAATCCAATTTCCGCGTTGTATTGAATTTCTTCGTAAATGGAGGGCTTGATAAAGAAAACAAAAAACACATGTGGAGGATATATGAAAATTTAATTCCATAAGGACCACGTGTGTTTTGATAATACATGGACTGTACTTAATTAATTTAATTAATTTGATTATTTGTACGTACATCAATTATGGTAAACACACAAATTAAAATCCTTTTTCATTAAAGTAATAGTATTAATTACTTTTTGAGTTATTAAAATAAGAGCTATTTAATTAATTTTAATGGATAAAGAAAGTCAAATTAATTAGTTAATTATAACAAATGTGATATGATCTTTGTGAGATATTCTTATATAATATTAAATTATATATCAATTTATAAGTTTGAAAAAATAGTTTTAAATGATAATAAATATGAAAGATAAAATAGATTGATATATTATATTTAAAACCAAACTCATCATCTAGCAAACTTTTATATTAGAGACTAGATATAATATTTTGATGATGTTGTAGTTAGAGTAGAGTTGGTATTTTAATTTGAGGAAGAAAATGTGAGTCTGAGTGTCTTGAATAAAGTTATAACATGTTAGGTAATATTAGAAGTAATCCATTGAATAATCCCATATGATTTACATTTTGCAGGAATGAAATCAAAATTATTTTCATATTATAAGCATGGGAATTAAAAATGATTATTTTATTACTCAAGCTTTTGAAAATTCGTTGTTGTCATTAACTATTTAATTATTTTGACTATATTTTTGATATGGAACGTGAAAGTTACTTTTATGTTTTAGTTTCATAATATTTTCACCTAAATAATAAAAAACTTAAACGAAATGTCATTTTTATATCATATTAAGTTTGAAAAAATTATTTCATTTATTTACTTATTATATTTTTATTTCTTGTTTCCAAAAAAAGAAAGAAACGTGGGGCATTAGAGAATTATATCATTGAATATGATAAATAGATAAGGATAAACCAAATACACATATTGAGTACTTCTGCATATAAAGTCTTGCAAATTTTTGTTATATAAAACAAAACAAAGGAGTTATGGATTTAGTTTAGTCTTACAAGTTACAACAACCAACATCTTAATTGCAAGCATCCCGTTTATTTTTTTAATTTGGGAAAAATTGAGACTTGGACTGGGTTATAAATTAATGATATATGTCACGTTTCCCAGAGCAGAAGTTGCCTTTTTTTTTTTTTTTTGGGACCCTGGAGAGTTGAGGTTGCCTCGTGTAATAAACTAATCATAATGATAAATTCGCCATTGTGATAAGCTAACAGAAAGATTCGTTAGCCAATAAGGAAGAAAAGCACAGAGCAAGACCCATCGTGGTATTTGGTATTCCCAAATTTGTTTAATTATCCTCCAATAATTTGAGTTCAAATGTCAATATATACCTCTTCTTGATTTAGAAGATAAATGTCCTATTTTATTCTTAAATAATTAATTTTTTAATATATATATTAAATATGAGTAAAAAAAATTGTTATATTTTTCATAGAGTGTTAATATGTTTTAAGGGTTTTTTAAAAATTTTTGTAAATAGAGTAATGCGTAGGAAAGACAGCTATTTTTCTCACTATTTAAATTTATGAATAAAAATACCAAAAGGAAAATGAGCAATGAGCTTTAATTAAATGAAATGCCAAGACGGATGGGTGTACGTTGTTCTGTCTCTTTTACATCATTATGCCAGGCTGATGAATTGATCAGCGTTCATCTTCATTCCAACTTGATTTCAACTGGGGTCCCGTGGGGCCTTCCTCTCCGAACAACTCACTTGGCAACCATCCCACCAGTTTCTTCGGCAACGCCTTCTCTGTCTTGTAGCTTATCTTCGGACCCCACTGCCACCCGAAATTCAGCCACGCCGGCTCCGTTATTGCCGACCTCAAATATTCCCCGGCAACCACCTCAAATTCGTTCCCCAAATCCACCACCTTCTTGCTCTTCGCTGTGTCGTTTCTTATCCCAATTACGCTTGTTCCTTGAAGAACTAGCCCGGGTTTCGAGTACAGTGCATGGCCGTTTAGGGAAGAATATGCGATGGGTTTGTTCTTCCCGGGTACGAATTCGAGCTCCGACGCGTCCACCCATTGGCCTCCGCTGTGTTGGGAGAAGTAGACGCTGTTTAATCCGCCATTGAAGTTGCTTATTCTCAGGGTCACGTGCTCCCAGTCTCCGACGTGTTGGCCGATTTTCCCCAGTGGGATAGTGACGAAGCCCACTTTGGCTCTTGAGGGGCCATTGAATGGGTAGAAAATCCAGATGGAAATGTCTGTGAATGTTGCTCCAAACATTGGTTTTATGTGCATATATGCTTGGAAGCTATCTAAATCTCCTCTTTTGACCCTTTCTCTGTTGGTTTCGTCCTTAGGGAGGTCTATCCAGTGTGCTCCATCGTTGTCTTTTCCTTGGGGAAGGACAGAGCCAGATGGGTCTATGGCTACAGGTTCCGACTCTTTACCTCTGGTATAGAGTAAGGCCCCGTTTGTGAAAAACCACTTGACAGAAGAAGGCAGATACTTTTCATCTGGATGAAGGTACATTAATGGAGCGTACGTTTTGATCAATGCTTTAGCTTGGTCCAGATTAGGCATGGTGGAGAAGTCAAGTTTGGTGTTTATTAAGCAGGGAATAGAAAGAGAAGTATCAGTTCTTCCATTTTGAGCAATGAAAGTACCTACAGGAACACCTGCAGCTTTAATTCCTCTAATTTTTGGTCTCGTATTATAGACATTGAAGCCATTTGAGTCCCTGCTGCTCTTGCCTGTTCCCCAAATCCATGAGTGTGTCACAATTTCATCTGTGAGGTTGGACCTGACACACCGGATTCTGTCCACGGAAGGCTTCTCCGGCAAGGTGGTGACAATATGGCCGACGGCTTTATAGCCATCAGGGGCTGTTGGTAACCAGACATAGGCTGTGTTTCCTTGCTCGATACCTGAAGAGCTATTAGTCCAGACCAGAGTGTAATCAACTGGCTCTGCTAGAGCCCCATTTTCAGCAGAAGAATTTGCCTTGGCCACAAGAACCCATCCAAAAAGAGGCTTATTGTTGGGTTGGGCATAGCAACCTAACATGGAGAATCCTTCAGGGACTGAAGCTGGTTCAAAGAAAGTAGCCCCAGCATTACCAGGTCCTCCTTCAAAAGTGCTCCAAACTTTGTTAAAGCTTGTAACTTGAAACACTTGGAGCTCACCCAGATCTATGATTCCCCTGGCAAATCCATCATCTGCATACGAAGCATATATAAAAGAATGATTAGGGCATTATGATGAATCGCATCAGCACGCACAGACCATTTCAACTCTCAAAAGTTTACAGAAATATTAAGGAACTGGAAAATGTGAACCTTGGGGCCAAACTGGGATATCATCATCAGCAGGAAACTTGAATTGGGTATCAATGGGAAGGGCTTTTCTTTTCTTTGAAGAAGAAGACCAGTTCCCCATTGTTGATGAGTTGTTATTTTATTTCAGAGGAGATTGATGATGAATTAATCTGTGTGAACAAGTCTGATCGGCTCTTTATACATATATAGAGAAGCATATTCTTCACAGAGATATGTGGAGAAGAGGGTGCAAATAAATTAACAGTCAACACATGAAGATTAAAATTACAAACAACATCCATTGAAAACGTGGATGGATCGAAGTTGCTGTCTTTCGTAGAAGACAGTTCCCATTACGAAACATCTTATTGTGCTTCCAAGAGCAGCATTGGTTCGCAAGGAAACCTCATGGCTTCATTTTTCTATTAACTAAACTTGCTTACGTTGGTCTCTGTTTGTCTGAAACACAACGAAGCAATCTTTTTTCCACCAAAGAAAGTGTCAATAATAAGCTGAACATGGCAAACAGTGACGAATCATATCTGCTTAATTAATACACCCAACTATACGTATGTTACTTGCGAGATGTATTATATTTCATACCCGTGATGACATATATGATTAATTAAAAAAATTAATGCAGAATTACTTTTTTTTTTTTAAAGTTTTGACGTCATTCTTATAATTGGGGGACATATAATACTTGGATTCCAACCTTAACCCAGCTTCCTTTATTTAATGGCAGTGTATAGATCTATACAAATGGTGTTGGGTGGGTTCAAGAAATAATTTCCGTTTATTAGAGTTTTGAATTTGGTGGTGATAAAGAGAAAATAAATAAATAAATAAAGACACATGTAGAGGATACAAGAGAATCTACTTTTTTTTTTGGTAATAAAGAATCTACTTTTTTTAAGCCAACCGAATCTAGGTTGCAAGGAGTACATGTGTTTTGTGATGTATACTCTCTTAATTCTAAATATAAAACTAATTTTATAATATAAATTACATTATAAAATGAGTCTTATATTTAGGATAAAAAAATATATGTATGTGTATTTATATGTATGCATGTATGCGCGCCTTCTCCACCTATCTTCTTCACAGCTTGCATGATCATCGTACGTACATTAATAATTAATAATTAATAATAACAATACCACGCAAAGCCTTTTTAAAAAATTTAATTAATAGTTAATAATTTGGTGATTCACCTAATTAGTAATTACAACAAAACAAGGGTATTATGGATTTAGTTTAATCTTACGATTTATAAATACCAAACAATCGCTAAAGATGAAATGAGACTTTTTGATGATAATAAAATAACAATATGCGCCGTGCTTTCCGGAATACGCACAAGTTTCCTCAAAATAATAAAATAAACTAATGAAAATGATAAAAATAATCAAATAATTGTGGTTAGGCTCCAAGAAAGATTCGCTGCCAAAGTTCTTTTTTGTTTTTTATTTTTAAAAAAAACTCAGACAAATATGCGTTGTAACTGTGATATACTAACTTCGTATCTAATTATAAAAATTAGTTAATTAATTTGAATAGATTAAAAAAATAGATTAAATTAATTATTTGTAATGAATAAATATTGACTTTTCTAAAATATTTTTACTAATTAAATATATTAGTTAGATTATCACTTTTATTATAGAAGGATTACTCTAAAAAAATATTTAAATATCAAAGACAAAATAAATTACGGTATTGTATTTAGTATCAAAATAAAAATAAAACAAGAAATTATATCAGTATTATACATGATACAAAACCTGATTTATTAACCTCCCATAAGTTTTCGCTGGCAAACAGAGATTCCCATGAACTTTCTCTAGCGCAGCAACGGGTGGGTTGGGCATCCCGTGCCGTAACTCATGCCCGTTTATTACTTTCTAAAAGCACTCTCCTTAAAAGGCGGAACAAACAACAAAATGAATCAGATAACCATTATTAGAGCATCAACCATGCCTCAGCCAATATTTTAAAGTCATCAATCAAAACCAAAAATCATAGAAAAATTTTATAGAAAAATCACAAGGGCAAGAAGGATAGAATCATTTGTGAAAATGGAGATTATAGATTGAAGAAGATGAAGGAGAATGACAGAAGGCACAAAAATTTCATTGCAAAAATCACAAGAACCTTAGAGGGAAGTAAAGTCACAGACACAGAGAGAACGGGTGAGGCCATGTTGAAGCCATGAGCGTGGCCGACCCGGTTGCCGTTGTCCGTCGCGTGGTTGAGATCGGAGGTTAAGAGGTGAGGTGGCTCAGTAGCGGCGAAGGGAATGATGGTAACGGCGATGTGAGAGAGGAGAGGAAGAAGAGAGAAGCGGGTGGAGGAGGAAGGGACTGGAAAAAATGGTGATGGGTGGAGAAACGGCGATGGATTTAGAGGAAGAGAGAAACAGCGAATCGGGGGATGGGTGTAAAATGAGGAAGCGAGAGGGTTCTTGTTAATTTTTGAGTTCTAAAATTTAATTTAAATATTATATAAAAATTGGTAAAATTATTTGACATGTAAATCATGGATGGGAATCGACCTGGGGACAAGGACAAGTGATGCTAATGGGCAAGCAAAACACTTTCACCACTGAACTAAAACGACTTCTGTTAGATAAGTAGGAAAAAATAATACTCTTTTTGTCCTAAATATAAATTTTATTTTATAATACAATCTATGTTATAAAATAGTTTTTATATTTAAAACTGAAGAAGTATATTATATAAAATAAATACATATAAAAACACAAAAAATATACGAGCAGGACTGAATCCACCTCTCATTAAAAGAGAGCTTACATGCTATTAAGTTATAAGACCGATGAGATGACATATATTTCATGACTTTGACTCTCACATAGATAATGGAGATTTTTTTTGGGGTAGTTTAGTGATTTATAAAAATTGGAGGATACATAATTGGGGATTTCATCAACCTTACCCCCTTCCTCTAATTAATTCAATTTCCACGTAGCTGGTGGAGGAGGCCGTGATAAGGAAATCAAAGGCACATGTGGAGGATATCAGAGCATACGTATGTTTACATGGACCACATGTTTTTTGACATATGAGCTGCATGATCTTTGTACGTACCTTCATATTAATAATGATAACAACACGAACACTCAAGACCATTTTTTATGGTTGGTAATTTAATAACTTGGTGATTTGTAGTTGGGATCGGTGTTTTGGTTTGATGAAGATTAGAAAAAACTGTGAAACAAAGAAAATATTGGAAATTAAAGATTAAAAAAGAAAGCAATCCTTTGAATAATAACATTTGATTTGCTTTTAGTAGGATTCAAAACAAAATTGTTTTCATATTATAAGCACTGTGATTAAAAATTGATTATTTTGTTTAATTGATACAGAATTCATGGAAGAATTATACTGAGAGGCCAAATTCACAAAATAATTATTAAGAAGGCTGTCAAATTTTTCACACACAACACAAATTACTAATCAAACTATGTTAAAAATTACGTTTTTCTGCTCATAAAAAGATTTTAGACCTCCATTCTATGTTCTGTTCCCCCGATCATCAACTCTAAAGATCTCTCGCTGCCGGGAGTTAAGTTCGTTCTTTTGGTTTTTTTTTTTGGCGGTACTGGAGTTAAAGTTCGGTTAATAACTGAAGAAAGAATCGAAGTTTCAAGTTTCAGCAGCCATCAGGAGGGTCATGGAATGGATTTCATCAGAAAATGCAACGTTATACTCACATTGGGGGGCTTGAAGAAGGATGAGGGACCCTCTATTGCCTAGCTTTTGAATAAATAATCCCTTCCACATTTTTCATATTAACAACCTTAGACTTTTCAGGCCCCAAAAAAAAAAAAAACAACCTTAGACAACTACGCAATTGTCCAAGCACCATGATCATAATTCATAAATACAACCCCATGTGATCACATATTAATCCTCTAAATATTCTTCTCCTTTCCCCCTTAAAAAGAATACCAGTTGCATAAATAAACAAGCTTTAAAGAATAAAGCTTAGAGCCTACCTAAAGCCTATGTGTATAACATTCAAGCTTCATCACCATTCCAGTTTCTCTTCACCTTTGGACCTATGGGTCCTTCCTCTCCCAACACTTCATTCGGCAATCCCCTCACTATCTTCTCGAACGCAGATTTCAGCCTTCCCGGCAACATTTTCTCTGCTTTCCTTATCTCCTCCTCCGTGTCATAAGTTACCTTCGGACCCCATTGCCTGAAGTAGTTCAGCCATGGCGGCTCCGCCACCACTCCAGGTCCCAAATATTCTGCAGATACCACCTCAAATCTTGACCCCAAATCCGCTATCATGTTGCTCTTATCAGTGTCGTTTCTGATTCCGATTCCGCTACTTCCCTGCAATACAAGGCCAGATTGTGCGTACATGGCGTGCCCGTGTAAGGAAGAATACGCCACAGGTTTGTTGCCATTTTGGTATTCGAGCTGGGAGGCGTCGACCCAGGTGCCTCCGCTGTGTTCTGAGAAGTAGATTTGATAAAGTTGGCCATTGAAATTGCTTATTCTTAGGGTCACGTGCTCCCAGTCCCCCACGTGCTCGCCGATCTTCCCCAACGAGACATTGATGAATTCTACTTTTGCTCTTGCTGGCCCATTGAAAGGGTAGAATATCCACATGGCTATGTCTGTGAATGTTCCTCCGAGCATGGGTTTTACGTGTATATAAGAATGGAAGCTCTCTAGATTTCCTTTTTTCACTCTTTCCTTGTTGGCTTGATCAGTAGGTAGGTCTAACCAATAGGCACCGTCATTGTTGGGATCTTGAGGGAGGTTAGTGCCGTTTGGTTGTACAGGGACAGGTTTTGACTCTTCCCCTTTCTTGTATAACAATGCCCCATTGGCGAAATACCAGTTCACAGAGGAGGGTAGATATTGTTCATCAGGATGCAAGTACATTACTGGAGAGTAAGCTTGGACTATTGCCTCTATTTGATGTAGATTAGGCATAGAGATTGAGTTACCATTCGTGTTCTTCAAGCAGGCAATAGAGAGAGGGGTGGTGGTTCCTCCATTTTGAACAATGAAAGTCCCTACACGGACAGCCTGAGCTCGAGTGTCCCTATTGCTTGGTCTTGCATCATAGACATTTAGTCCATTGGGGTCATAGTTCTTGCCTGGTCCCCAAATCCATGAGTATGTCTCGGGTTGGTCGGTGAGGTCTGATCGGACACACCGGATTCTGTCAAGGGAAGGCTTTTCCGGGGAGGTTGTGACTACATGGCCGAGAGCTTTGTAGCCGTCAGGGGCTATTGGTAGCCAAACATAACCAGGGCCATTTTGCTTGAGTTTCAGAGAATTGCTGCTCCATATCAGCTTATAATCGACTGGAGCTTTTAGAGATGCATTGCTGGGTGGAGAGTCATCTTTTGCCACCAGAACCCATCCAAAAAGAGGTTTGTTGTTGGGTTGGCTATAGAAACCTAACGGGTAGAATCCTTCAGGTATTCCTGTTGGCTCAAAAAAGGTTGCCCCAGCATTACCCGGTCCCCCTTCAAAGGTGGCCCAAATTTTGTTAAATGTTGAAACTTGAGACACTCGCAATCCACCTAGAACAATGACTCCAGTGGCAAATCCTTTACCTGCATAGGAGCATTCAAACGATAAAGCGAGAGCCAACAAGAAAGAGAAACAAGGAAAAACTACATTTTGTCCCTAAAGATGACCTCATCTCAATTGGCTCCCTTAAAAAATTCTTTGTATCAATTCAGCATTTTATCCTGCCTCTGATCTTTTTTCCAGGGGTGGCAAAATAATATCACAAGATTTTTGAAAGGATGCTCTGATTAAAGTAATGCGGGAAAAAAACTTCAAGCAAGCCAATTAACATTGGGTCATATTAGGAGGATTAAAATGAAGTTTTACTCAAAGAAACATAACCATGGCTTATCAGAATATCTATGTTGCAGAACGAAGAAAGGAAAAAGGCAAGAAGAGAAAGCACACCTGGTGGCCAAACTGGCGGAGCAGCAGGAAGCTTGAATGTAGTCTCAATGGCCGGAGGTTGAGGTCGCTTTTTCTTGAACAGACCACGCACTGCCAAAGAAGAAGAGGTTGTGGGAGAATTTCCCATGGATTAATCAAGAGGAGATTGAATAGTATGATGAATATGGATGTATGACAAAAGCAGAGGATTTTGGAAAAAGCAGCCTGTGACTTCGATGAAAAATGTGAGGCACTAAGATGATTCAGAAAATAGACATATATAAAGGAGCAATCCAAGGCTGTGTCTTGCAAGAAAGCCAGTTCGGCTAAATAGTTATGCTTCTACTTTTCATCCTTGTTTAAGTTCCCTTCCACACCAAGTCATCATACTCATTTTAGTAATTAGCTTTCCTTGTTGACCAGTTCTTGACATGTTAAAGGCAGGAAAATTTTCCAGGTATTTTACCATGTTTATAAATTATATACCAAGCTAATTATGAGAATAAGACAAGATAAAATATGCCTTCTCCTATTTTCATTCAGGTTAGACACATTTTAAATGAGTATTTTAGTGACATGTCCGTGAGCATCTCTATTTTTAGCTATTCATAGACTTATATTAAAATTTATATAGTTGCTCACACCTAACGTGCTTGCTCGACATAAAGAGCATGTAAATGAGCACGAGTGACTCTGTTTTGGGGCAAGTATCAGGTCCTTTCTCCCCCTCCCCTGTTTCTAGCTGGAAGGTATCAAAATGGTGAAGACTCACAGAGTATTAAAAAAGTTTGGAAGAAACATCCTAAAATTTCCATGGCTGAATATCTTTATCTATTTTTTATTGAAATAGGCAGGAAAATGTTGATACTGAAGGGATAGAGAACGATCGCAAGACACCTGAGAAAAGTTACAACCTTCATGACTTATTTCTCATTCAATGCTCAATAATTTCTATAGTTTGATATTGATAATATTGGGTACCAATGCCGTACCAAGTTATATTCATATGGCTCAGGAAAAGCAAAGGGTAAAGGTATATCCTTGCCTTGTGGAGGCGACCTTGCTCTTCTTGGCAACCAACTAGTCGTACGTTTCACGTTTTTGTTACGTCATTCATTAAATATGCTCAAGAGATATCAAATTCAACAACTACATAATACTCCTCCGACTCTAAATATTACAGCTCTGTAAAATAAGTTTTATATTTAGAATCGAAGTACTTTTGAAGACTTTATTTTTGGCTAATATAATAACCAAAAATTTTAATATATATGTAATCCTACTTTTCTATCTTTGTTTTCCTGCCAGCCTCACGGTGCTACAAGTTGGGCATGCAAATGTCACTGTATCTGAGGCTAATTATTTACATCACTTCTATGATTGAATAAAAGTTTTCAAAATTTATCACTTTGACTGCGACGCTGTGCTGACCATTTTCACTTATTTCCGTGACTTAATCATTTGGCAAAATCATGGATTGAGACGTAATGAGGTTAACAGGGGATTAGATGAGTTTAGATATTTAAAATGCAAAATTTACAGGGAGTAAGATTTTTTTTTTATTTATTTCAGACACATTATTTTCATTTTTTATTTATATTCTATTTTAAAAATATTTTTCTGGCAAAAAATTTTAAAAGTATTTTATAAACTTAGGATTTTATTATTTAACCAATATATAAATGTAGTTAACACGTCCTTCTCATAAACATTATTTTGAACCGTCCTTGTCCCTAAATATCAGTCTCTCGTGGCGGTCGACGATCGTGCAGGTGGTTAGTGTTGATTTAGATTTTTATATTTTTTACGTAAATAATTTTGTATTCGAAATAAATTAAATCCAAATTTAAGTTTTATATGCACTGTTGTAAATTTACAAATATGGTATACATATTTATTTTATAATGCAAATGGCCAAAAAAAAATGCCCTAGGTTTTTTTTCCTTGGAAATCACCCCTACGGCTATCGTCTTCCTTGAATGATCATGTCGGAGCCTCTCCATTTTAGAACTAAAATGCTAGGCGAAGATGAGCAGGTTCGAGGGTGGAACTTGGAGGCATAAAAATGAAGTACTTCTGACTAACCAACTGGTGTTTCCCTTGGAATAAATGTTAAATTAATTATAAAAATTAAAGCTAACTTGGCTGATGCCCCTCAGCCCCTCCTTTTTCTTCTGCAAATCTCTTTTTCTGAACTGAACTTAAAAAAAGTTGCAGCCGAATTCAGATTTAAGACTATTATAACGAACCAGAAGCTGACAAAAAGAACAAAATCATCCAAAAGCTTTGTTGTAGAAAACTATTTTAATCTTCTCTTAATTGGTTTTTATACTTGTCTCCAGAAATCTGAATCTATCATCATCATCATCACAGAACAGCAAGGAGGAAGAACATTGCGAAAAGCAAACAAAAAAGGAAGCTAATGCAGAAGAAAACTCACATGAAAACCGTTCCACCGGAGCAGCTTCGAGAGGCGCCATTTCCGCAGCTGCCAACAGAAGCGCAACAAACACCAAGTCCGCCAGGCGAATCATTCTAGGATACTTGTTCAACTACAGATCTCCGAAATCTGAGGCTCCGGCGGCCACCGTGAATGGGGAGGATGAGCGAGTGAAAAATGATGGAGAAGAGAAGCGGAGAAATCTATGGGAAGCGGAGGGAACTGAGAGAGGCGTGCTATATGTTAAGATGTGCTTTTTGGTTTATGTTGCTTGACCAACCATATGCTCTGCTGCCCTTCCTCTGTCTTTCTCTGTCGCTCTGTTCAACTTTCTTTAATGGCTATCAACCTAAAAGCTAAATGCAATTGTTTACTGTTTCATTCTTTCCTGCTTTCTTTCTTTCTTAATTCTTACTTTCTGTGGTGATTGGTTATGAATTTCTCTTTTTCTTTTTTGTTAATGTGCGGCACATGAATGAACAGTTGCAGCACAGGAGGAATCAAAATCAACTCTTCTCCTCATTTCAAGGATCAATAAAAAGAATGTTCGTCTTTATGTGAATTGTTTTGGTTAAATTAAATTAAAATTTTTTTTGGTGAAAATATCAATATGTATAAAATAACGATCCTTAACTGAAGATCTAGTTATAATAATACTGACAGGAATGTTTTTTCATTTTTGGTGGGTAAAATGATGACAAGAATGTTACCAGTTTCACCTTTTTTTTAATATTCAGTTTAGGATCTATAATAAGGTGGGTCATGGGGCGTTTAAAATTAGTGGTGAAGAATAGTTCCATTGTTAAACAAAATTGAAAGGTAATTGAATTCAATATATTTTCTTATATCACCTCTTATCCTAATTATAAGATATTGTTTATGGACTACAAATGAGTTTTTATGATTAAGACCGGAAATAGTACCTTTGATATTAATTATTTAATTAAAATAGGATAATTTGATAATAAGATATTTATCAAACCCAATAGATCCTTTTGAAATACTTTGTTCCTTTAAATTAAGTTATAAAATAGTAATCTCATGTGCATTGAGAATTCATGATCGTGCATAATGAAATTTATACAGAAGACAAGACGATAAATGAAAGCGAGTATAGAAATAGGGGTAATGAAGCAGCTAAGTAAGTAATGAATTAATAATTTAATATGAAGAAGAGTTTAAGATGAATTTTTTGGTAACTAAGCATAAGAATAGAGACATGGATGGATAGATTTGGGTGGCGGCCAAACTGGAATGCACCAACCGGTAATGGCGCAAAGGTTACGAACTTTCTGAAGGGAATAAAACCTAATTTTGCGGGCTCTGTACCATGATAAGATTCAGATATGGACGGCATGGTAACACGTAATGGAACGAGAAGGAGAATGGAAACATGATTGCCGAGGAAAAGAAAAATTTTAATCAACTCGATTTGAAAAATTAGAAAAATAGATTTTTAAAATTTTAACAAAAACTAAATAATATAAATAATAATTAATTAAAAGTTTTAAATTTTATTTTTCTATTTTTTCGAGCTTGTTAAATTTTTTCGTTCCCTCCCCTCTTCTATTTCTCTCGCACGGACTCTGAAAAAGATAACGAGAAGTGGGGCCCATTTAAATATGAAGAAGACGATATGGTCCGCGGATTGCACCCTCCTTGGGTGGGAAGGCACCCCATTTTGACAAAACACCTTATCTTCTTTCTTTGTTCACACCACACAGGCACACATCCCCTCCTCCATTAATTCCCACTCATGCTCTCTGCTGTACCACAACTGAACATTAATAAATAATTTTTTTTTAAAATCTGCAGACTTAAGGCCGTGCTTAGTTGGAGTAGGAGGTCCTAGGGGATTGAAATTGAAATCGGGATTGAAAAAGTTGGCTAAAAGAGCATTTGTTTGGTATATTGAATTACTTATATAGGACTTGAGAATTCCATTGAGGATGTAATCTTAGAAATTCGTGTTTCAAATTAATTTTTTTAATCAAAATGCCCTCTTTCTCACATGTTACTGATCCTTGAACCAGACACAGTGGAGAAAGCTTGAGAAGATGGCTATGATAAATGATTTTTAGGGTTATAAATTTTTTTCTTTTCAAATTATAGAGGATATTATAGTCTTTTGACCATTTTTTTGGCTGCGTATTTAGAAAAAAAAATCAATGCAAGAATTTCATTCAAATTGATCAAAATTTGTTCTTAAAGGGCCCTGAGGCTGTGTACATGGGTCAGCTGCGGGGCATTTCAGGTACTGGCTGAAAAAAATATCAGTTTTTTTGTTTTTGCTTTGCCAACTTGTGAATTGGGTTTCAAATGGGCCCAAAATTAGCCTGGTTTTCCTCTGGGTTGGACCGAGCCTGTACCAGCTTAGGCCTGGTCCATTTTAAAATTATAAAAAAAAATTATCTTTTTGATAATCTTACTCTATTTTGGATAGTAAATATTCTTCTAGAATAAAATCACCGAGGGCAACATATTAGGCCGCCATATTCATGGCGTCAACCTCTAATTATACCTGCTTTCGCGGATAATGTCTCAGTTAATTTTTCTTAAAGAATTTAAGTTGTGAGCCTCTAATTAATTAATTTTTGAATTGAATTAATGGTAAATAGTTACAAATATCTTCCAAAACGTAGCGCGTCGCGCGATATTCTTAGTCTTGTCTATAAAGCTAGAAATGTGCATTTAATTCAACCATTAGATCAAATTAAACCGTCAAAATTTAATACTTTATCAAAGAATAATACTTACATCAAGTTACTTACATCTATTATATCAAGGTCTTCCATCAAATATGATCATGTTTCATATTTTTAAAATATTTAATTATAAATCCACATGAAATGAGAAAAGACACATGGCTATGTGTGATTAGAAAATTTGACATAATTTATATGAATAAATTATTATACCATTAAATAATAAAAAAGTAAAGGAACAAATTTCAACTGTTAATTTTTTTTAAGAAAATGTCAAAATTGCAATAAAAAATTACTTTATAAAAAGATTTTAACAACAATCTTTCCGCTATAGTAGCTGTTAACTGTTTAGATTAAAATTTAAAAAATTAAATTTATTTATTTATTTTATTATTTAAGATAATAATAATATAGATTTAATACAATGATTGAGATGAAAAGTTTTTTTTAAAAAAAAGAGAGGAAAGGATGAGGAGAGAGTTCTCTCCCAACAATTATTTCCTTGAAAAGGTTGGCCTATGCAAAAGAAAATACTAATTAATTTGTTTCGCCATTCATCCACTCAAAAGTCTAATAATAGTATAAATTCATCTCATGACAGGAGACTCATTATTCAACAAAATATTTTTTAAAAAAAATCAAAAGAAAATAAAGCACCTAACTTAACTAATCCCTAGAAATTAATACTAAAATATTGATGCAAAGCACGCATATTGATTAAGATTGCAATCCCCTAAAAAGCAATGCTTTCATGCATATTAAATATTAACTTGTTTGGACACGCTTATTTAAGTGGTTATAAGATAAAACTTCTCCCAATACTTACACGATATTTCATTTTATAAGCCATTTCAAACCAGCTCACATTCAAGAGCAATGCTTTAACATGTCAAACAAGTTTTGAGCGACTCAATCAAAAAAAAAGGCTGAATAATGCAAAATGCTGAACAGCCAGGAAACATCACTTAGAATGCAAAAGCCAGAAGTCACGAAGCCATTGGACCACTCCATTTGTTCTCATCGCTACTTCACAGGAGTGTAGTTGAAATATCCATTTCCTGGCCCCTATTCTAATAACTACTCACTCATTAAAGTTGCATTTATGCTAATTAACCTTTCCCATCATGGTTTTTGATTATCTGTACATTATGACCGCTTTCTTCCATCGCAATCCATCGCTTTCTTCTCCTGAGGTTAAGTTTAAACAAGTGGAAAATTGTTAGACACCTATTAAAAAGCTGCATTTACTTAACAAATCACATAAATAATATTATACCATCTTGTGTTCAATGAATGGCAACCAATTGTTATATAAGGCTATTAAAAATTAAGTTTTTGTTAACAATTATCTGATGCTCAATACTAAGTAGCAGCTACATATTTAATATTACTTCATATTCTTAATATAAGAGCTAACTGAAGATTTAACTTAGTTATAAATATAAAACCTCAAACCACTTTGTCTTTTATATTTATTCATTTTGCCTGCACATATTAAGAAATCTACGTTAAGGGGTAGTTTCAATGTATATAATTAATAAGAATATTTTAAAAAAGATAATATTTATTTATTATAAATAATGATTAATTTAATTAATTTTCTTAATATTCACAAATTAGTTATCTAGCTTCTATATTAAAGACCGGATATAGCATATAATTATCATTGGTAGTTCATTCAGTAAATTTTTTTAATGTACGAAAACACTTTGTTGTGCTACTTTTAAACTATAACATTTACCTTAATCATCCTGATCATCAATCACCCATCGAACTGCTAGTACTATTCCTAGAGACAAATCTACGTATTCATGAATAAATTACTTTTGATAACGAGCACCATAATATGATCATGGTGAGGGTGCACTTCCCCGAATTTGCTGAAATGACTTGTTATCTAAGTAAAACAAGGTCCTAGGTCCACCATTAAGTAAACTAACCTTTACTGATATTAATTAGTTTCGAGTAAGGAAAGGGTTGCAGTACCATATATATGTCCATATCACACAAAGTAATGTATGAATATTTTCCAAGTATGAACATCACACATATCTTGTTTCACTATTTTCGTCTAAATCCTAAATCAGAAAATTAAACTAATGCTAAACAAAAGAAATCGAGGTGAATCATTTCTTCTTTCTTGCACTCATCCTCAAACCAGAAAACACCATTGACATTTAGATTACTTGCACTTCTTGATTAGCTTCCCCCTATCTCAACCTCTATAAATTCAGAAACACAGCCATGAAAACCCCACAAACAACAACACCAACACCATCTGGTTTTTAACTGAGCTTGGAGCAAGAAGAAAACCATGATGAGATCATCTTCAGTTTCAGTTTGTGGCCTTGTTCTTCTTGTTCTTGTGGTGGTCCTGACTGCTTCAAGCTCATCAGAAGCAGCCATATCATGCAGTGATGTGGTGAAGGACCTGAGGCCTTGTGTGAGCTACTTGTCAGGTGGAAGCGGGAAGCCGCCGCCGGCTTGCTGCTCCGGCGCAAAGTCACTTGCTTCTGCCGCATCAACCACCGCAGATAGGAAGACTGCTTGTAACTGCATCAAGTCTTCTGCTAAGAGCCTCACCATTAAATCTCAGCTTGCTCAATCTCTCCCTTCCAACTGTGGCATCAGCATTCCCTTCTCTATTTCCCCCGACACTGACTGCTCCAAGTAATTAACTCCTTTACTTCTTTATCTTACATAACACAAAACATGTTTTTCTCTTTCATTATATAGAATTTCAGACCAACCATGCATGTTGTTTCCTTTGGTGATGTGGTGACTCGTTATAAATTTTGTGTTTTATGATGATACTGATCCCTTGTTCCATTGTTTTCTCATGCACTTGCTATGATTATATGACTTATATATAACACATTATTTTCTTTTTTTTATATACAAATAACACTTTTTTTTATGATTTATTTTAAGAATTCTTGCAATATGGTATTTGATATTATCTATATATATATGGTACTTGATTTTTCTTTTTTTTTTGCATGCTTTGCTTGCTTGACATGTTTTATGTGCATTTAAGGTTATTAATTTACTTAATAGTCATTTTAATTATATTTTAATGGTGTTTGGTGAACATAAATAGTCTAAATATTTTAAAATGATTTTTTCCTTTAATAAAATTAACAAAGTGCTGGTTGTATATTAACAGGAAAGTAAAAAATCAATATACATATACTATTGGGAAAAAGTCCGACACACACACACACACACATATGTATAGACACGCGTGTGTATCAATAGAAATCATATTATTCATCACAGAGTTGGAAGTAAACGTTCCCAATTAAGTACGTATACTATGAACAACGTGTGAACCCTTTACATATTTATTCATCCCTGACTTAGCTTGGTTTAATTATTTACCTTTAGCAGATTTAATTTACTTCATAAAAATTCCATAATTCCTTTAGATATAGTCAGTGAATTAAATCTTATTTCGTCGATATTTTGGCCCATTTTTTTGGTTGACCCGTTATTTTTTTGTTTTTGCCACAGTCTGTAAAATAACTAATCGGATGTTTAATATTATTGTTGATTAATTATCTGGGTGGAAATTTTGCAGGATTAGTTAAGACTTGGAAGAGAAGGGTGTTTTGCAGGGCATCAGCATGAAGAGCAAAGTTTTCTAATATTATTATGTATGGGAATTATATGTTTGTAATAAACAGAAATCTGCTCTATGTGGATTTCTTTTCTGTTTGGATCTTATGATTATAGGTATGTTGTTTCCATTTTACATATTATATTGATACCCCATTACTCTTTAAATTTCAGAAGTATTTCTCTGTGTATTAAGCTTCCCTGCTATGTATAATCCAAAATAAATGTTCCAATTTTATGAAATCAGTCCATTAATTAAAAAAATAATATGTGTTGAGTGTTGCGGGACAATTTTTACACATTGTTATATTATATGCTTAAGTTTAATTCTTTTAAGTCCATAAGATCAATTCATGAAGTACATGAGTTCCCAAACGTATAATATAATGAATATCTTGAATTTAATAAAATGTATACCTCCTAATTCCCATCGGGGGAAAAAAATAAAATGTCACCCGTAAATTAAATTTAGTCTTTCGATTTAACTTAGGGGACAAAAAACTTTATTTCAGCAAATATTCCAAGGAAAAAATTAACGCATTTACAAAGGATGATTAGGATTATGGGTCAAGCACACCCTTGTCCCCTTAATTCTCCACTTAAATAATTGTTTTTTTTTTTGGCTGCACATGAAATGATATGTGTATAGTGTACTAGAGGAGTCAAACCCTATGCATTTATTCAGATAATAAAATCTTTTTAATTTTTCAGTATTGTATTAAAAAAAGCGTGAGATGGGTTCATCAACAAGGCTCAAAGTTCAAAACTTCAAGAGCATTTGCAGATTATTCAGTAACAAAGTTTTCATATTAACAATACTATTTAAACCCATGCTTTTTTTGACAAAAAAAAACCATGCTTTTTATGTAATGTATCGGAAAGATAAAATAATAGCTTATGAATTTATGAAAGAGTATACCTATTTTTTTAATATTTAAACAGTATAGTATACTTATTTTTTTTAATATTTAAACAGTATGCTTTTCTATTATTTGAAATGGACATTTGCAACTTGTGATGTGAGATCCAACATATTGTTGGATCTTGCAAACATGCGTCTAGAAGTTTCCCTACCATCCCACTAATTCATATTCCCATCATCCTATTTATTTATAAAACACTTTTATCATATTTCATGAGAATTAAAAAAAAACCCTAAAATCCCATTCATCCGGTCATAAAATTAAATATCTTTTTAATTTTACTTATATTTAATACGCATATTCTTTGACGAAAGGTCTAGGAAAATAATAATAATCTATGAAATTATAAATTAGTGATAAAAGCATACATTCATATAATAAATTTAATGAGATGACTTATGTTGTGGACGAAAAAATACTCTCTTTTTTATCATATAAATAGAATCAGGAGAGTATTGAAACATGTAAACAGAAGTAGATAAAAGAAATAAAATGTTTATATAAATGATTTAGTTGGTATGTGGGTGCCAACTATATTGAGTGTGGTGCATAGTGTTATGGGTTAGGCAGGACAAATGTGGTTTGTATTATTTTAAGATTTGAAAATGAGACCAAATGTGGGTAAACAAAGTGGGAAAGATTTGAAAAACCTTGTGAAATCGGACAATAAATAATGATTCACATCACTTATAATATATATATATATATATATATATATATGTTGTCGTTGTTGTTACCACTTCTATTATTAACAATAGACAGCTATTTATCACTCTCTATGAAACTCCCATGTGCCAAGGAAACCCCCTTTGACTTTGATACCTTCACCTTTTTTTTATCAACAACAATTCAAATTCTTCCCTCTGGTTTTTGCCCTAACTCTCTCTTCTCTTCTCTTCATTAGCCCTATCCTCCTTCACACCCATAATGAGAAATGGACTCCCTCTATAATTCACTCTTACCAACCATTCAAATTCATTTAACTACCTTGATTTCAGCTCAAAAGTTTGATGCTATCATCATTTTTATTTTTTAAGATCCTGATTCCATCTCTAAAATTATTGTTATTCTTTTTTTATCATTTCAACTATTAATTATATGATTAAAAACAAGCACACTGTGATTTTCCCCCCTTTTTCTTGATTATTAAACATTGTTTAAAAATCTATCTCTAGTGGGGTAAACTCAAGTTTAGATTTGTGTTAGAAACTATCAAAACAATGATGATTTTGATCGTTTACAACGAGAACGCAAATGCACATCTTTTTATAATTTAAAGAAAGAATGCATAGTTTATTCCATTACTTTAAGACGATGTTATATGGCAAAGCAAATTACGTAAAAGAAGGAAGTGATGTCAATTATTTCTTTATGAATAAAAAGAGATTTAGTAGTTGCTCATCTTTCAGAAAAACAGTTCTTCCTTTTTATTTTTTGTCCCCTTATTTTTTGGGATGTATTTAATGCTTTTTTATGAGCCACCAGCCATAAAGAAAACATGAATGGTTGAATAAAAGAGGAAGTGATTTAGCATTTTTTAAAAAAAAAATATTAATAAGAGAAAGTGATAAAGTAGAGGTGAGGAAATAGCCAACCAAAATAGAGACTTTTATTGTGGCTACAGAACCAAATTCTAAAGAAAATGCCACACTAACAAACCAATAAATCTCACTTGGGTCCACTGTGTCTAATCTCTTAGCCTCACTTTCCTTTCTTTGAATTATTCAATGGTCTGAGATGATCCCATACTCTTTTTTTCCTTCAGATCTGGTAATATTTGACCAATAATTAAAAAGAATTTCACAAGAAAATACATTAACTTTTGCTCTGCTCCAATATTGAAAATTTTGTACAAAGATATCAAGTTATTCAATTATGTAGGCTCTGTCCAGTGTCCACTCACATGTGGAGGCATATGGTTGTTGTTTCCAATTGCCATCACTAGTCTCTGCTTCAATTTAAAAATGTCACCCCACTAATGTCCCAAGAAAGAACAAAACTAAATAAATGCTTTTTATAATTATTATTATTATATTATTAAGACAGCTTTTCACAAATCCAACAACATGCTAAAATAATAAATACATATTCATCTGTCCAATACTAGAATATTCCCTCCTTCACATTCACATTCCAGCATTCAAATAGCTCCATAGAGAGGAACAAAACCAAAAAAACACTATTTTTATCAACAGCATACACCAGAGAGAAGAAATTATGAAGAAAATTTCAAGGAATACACCACCCCTTTTTTCTCCAATGAATTATTTGGAGACCCTATTGGGAAATCAAATACTATCATACAACAAAACCTCAAAAACAGACCAACCTAAGAAGCACAGATCCAATGACAGATACAAAGATTAGCATCTGTTTTTTTTTTTTTTTTTTGGGTCAAGGATCTGAACTTGATAGTGGCTAACACAAGATACTAGCTATAAAAAAACTAAAAACATCTACCTCTTCCTCTTCTTTTGCAGACTGATCATGGGCAATTAGGGTTTTTGCCAGGACCACCAAAGTAGAAATAGGTTCCCCAATCTCCAGCATTGCCACTTTTGACATTGTAGCAGTTTGGTTGCTCAGTGTAAATCCCGAGGTCTTTAGGAGCCCTGAGCTTGTTATTACCATCAACAACCTGAATGTTCTTGAAGTAACTTGCCTTGCCAAATCCTTCCTCAGGGAAATGCCCACTTCCCATTTGTGTTGATGTATGTTGACCATCAGATTCTGAGTTCACTACTTCTCCTCCCCACTCGATCATCGAAGCACTGTCTGAGAGGTACGAGAATAGTGGGGCCGGCCAGTATCCAAGAACATGATCATTCCCAAATTGCATCCACCAGTTTCCCTCTTTAGGATCCTGCTCATTAGTTTTACCATACCAGTCAGCAACATTATCAGATGGCATTGTTTAAGAAAATTTCATCAGAATCAGTAAACCAAGCCCAATAATACAAAGACCCTTAAACATGTGCACGTCAAATATAAGTGCCACTGAAATGTATAGTGAGTTACTGACACACTTGCATGTTTCTTCATAATTTGGCTTACTTAAAGATTTTATGAAATGAATCACTGCAAGAATCTATATGCTTGTTAAAGGCTAAATCCACATGGACAATGCCGTGGACAGAAAAATACCATCAAGATATAATGACAATGTGTCAGAGATTCTCTTGCTTTATGATTATTTAATATCTGTACTATTTTATAATAATATGGATGTGTTTGCCAAGCGAAGGCCTCCACTGGTTTTTGCCAGAATGTCTAGTGAAAAATATAATATAATACTGTTAAAAGGGGAAGGAGAAAATTTTTTAAGGTACCTTCCAGACAAGGATGCTTATATCATATTGGGAAGATCCATAATTTGAAAGTGGGTAGATGCTGGCTCCAAGGGCTATTTGATTGTTAATTTGAATAAAACCAGAGCAGAGAAGATTATAACAACCAGTAGCTTGATATGCATCACTCTGAAAAAGTACGAGATTAACAAAACAAAATGAGTGAATGATTAGTGGAAAGAGAGAAAGAAGCACTGAGAAATAAGAAATTAACAACTCACTGTCCAATACGTGAAGAGTCTGGTGTTGTTATCCCCATATAAATCAGGGCTGACCTAAATTGCCATAACAGAATAGAAAGAAACATGAAATAAGATGGATTGAAAGAAATTGATGAGCACTTTGAAAGAGAAGAAGATGACAAAAGCACAAGTTAAATCATACCTGCCAGCCAGCTTCAATGCTGTTAAGATCTTGACCAAAAGAGCCACCAAGGATCCACATTTGAGACAGACTAAACTCATTGGGTTGTTGAATTTTGGGATCCCAAACGTTTATGGTTGCCTTAGCTCCATAAAACTTATCTCCCTCCACATAAACTATGGCATGCTAGTTGCTCCAAAGTCCAAACCCATCACACAGAAAAAGAGGACAAATACACATAAAATAAGCATAATATAAAGCTTCCATGTGCATGAACAGTGTTCCTTTTCCCCCTTTTCTGTTTTAGTACTTATTACTATGAAGCTTTTGCATTATGAGTATGGGGGTACTAGTAGTGGCAGAAGTAGTACCTGGTGACCACTCTGAGTGATGATGTCAGGCTGAGGTTTTGCAGATCTTGGCTGAGGGAAGCTCTTTTGCTTCTTCTTTCCAAATTGTTGGACGGAGCTTGCTCTTAAAATGTCATCTTTTCTGGTTCTTCTGATAGGAATGGTCCCTTCTGGGCACCTTCCATTCTGATGCCATAGCTGAGTGATAGGCTTGGCTTTTGAAGAGACTTTGCTTTCTCCAAAAGTACGCCCTTCTGGGTGGAAATCTGGCCTTGTCTGCAAAAACAAAGCAGAATTCAAGTTCAAACCAAAACCAAAATCAAATTACCCATTTTGAATTAGAGAAGTAAGCAATGATTTACCTGAATTTTGTGGTTTTTGAGTTCAGGGTGGTCAAAAGCTGGCTGGTGCGAGACATGGACGCAGTCTATTATATCTCCATCAGGGCTCTGTTTTTTTCCAGCCACAAAAAGTAAAGCCAAACAATTAGATTTAGAATTTTGAAAATAATACGAACTAATTACAATTCTAAACAAAAACCCAGAAAAGTTAATGCCCAGAAGTTAATCGATTATGACATAATTAAAAAGCATGAACCAGCAGAGCTTCTTCAACATGCATACAAACAAGTAAAACAACAGAAGCTTTCAAGTTTCAAGCAAGAGAAGAGAATCTAAAGATTTTAAAGCTCCTTTAGAAAAACCAAAAGGTAATTTTCATTCTTTCCCCATCAATGTTGCCATTATCGATGAGGAAAAGTTATAAAGTGCAGGGGGAGAGAGAGAAAGAGAGAAAGAAATCCACCGTAATAGACTTAACAGCAGGTCTGTTCAAATTCTTCATCTGCATCTGAACATCAAACTTCTGACTGGAGCTTCCGGTGCCGGAGCCGAGTACAGAGGTCCTCGCGGCCACCGTCATCATGGGTGCCAAAAACAAGACGAAACAGAACAACATCTTGACCACCCCCCACATCTTCACACTTCCTAATTGCGTCGCCATTACAGCCACCGAATCAAAAGGATTCACCTTTCTGAGAATTCTCAGGTGGGTATTGAAGGAAAAGACCAGAGGAGCTTTTAGAAAGGAGAGGCAACTGCTAGGGGGTATTTGAAAACATACAAGATTTATATCCCTCGAAAAAAGACTAACCGGGGGTTTGTTTAAAAAAAACAAATATAATAAACTGGTTTTGAGAGAAAATGATGATGATGGCGATGAAGAAGAAGAAGAAGGGGGTCCGCTTTATTTTCTCTCCTCTCGGAGCTTATTTGGAGTTTTCTTTTTCCTTCTCAGAACACTACAAAATATACTGCCGACGCTTTTGCAATTCCATTCAGAGAGAAAAGGGGTATTATGGGAATGTAAAAATATGACTGTGGAAATGCATGGTGAAGTTATCTAGTCGTCTCCTACCAGAATTCCACTACTACTCACAGTAGAGAGAGAGAGAGAGAGTTAGATGGTTTGTTCCCGCTATTCAGGGATGAAACCAACAAAGGGTGTGAAGTTACTGTTTTACCCTTGGGGTTCACGGGAACACATTCCCATTTCTCTCTCCACACTCCTAAGCTTAACAGGAAGATAGAGATGGGAACTGGGAATCACTGAGCTTTGTCTCTTTCCGTTGCAAAAAGTTTTGATATAAAGAAAAGATCTTTTCAAGTGGGTGCCTTTTTTGGCCTCACCCACCAACGATAAATCCAGATTAATGGCATTATTATAATATTAAAATTCTCGTTTTTGGAATTTTCGTTTTTATCAACAAACGAGTTAACAGAATCCACTTTGATGACGGGCGGAATCAAAACCTAATTATTGGGAGTGCTTTATTTGATCATGATCATGATGGCCAGATAACTAATTTTTCTTTCTAAGAGGGAAAAAAAATATTTGATGAGAAAAAGTTAAGAGATTATACTTTCTTATCTCAATCTCCTCTCCATCAGTTTATTGATAAATAATTATGTAAAATTAAGGTTTTCAACTATTGAATTATTTTTTGGGGAATTGTGCCGTAAAATGCTTGTTATTATAATTTCAAAATAATACAAAAAATTTGAACTTTTCCATGACGATATATCTTTTAGGAGAAATTTAAAAAAAATGACTGTTAGCTTTTAAAATTTCAAATCAGTATTAGTTATTACACTTATAAAAAAAAATAACTATATTTGAAAAGTAAATGACAACATATTTTTTGTAGTAATTCATGATTTAAAATTTTGAAATTCGACAATCATTTTTTTTTTGGGATTTTTTTTACCTTCTTTTAATCAATATGACTAAATCATGTTATACATAACACTTATATCTATATTAAATCAACCAGATAATAACCTCTTTTTTAAGTTCAAGTTCTTCATTATGCCCCCGGTCTGATTGTACGTTAATTATGAATTATCGGAAGTTATATTTATTTGTTCTAAATGTATTGATTAATTGCAAATAATCACTTTGTGAAAATTAAACAATGGAGTACAACTTTTTAGGCAATATCTTTGCACTTCTCTAATAATTTGGGGGGGAAAAAAAAGGAGAGAGGTAAGAAGTGTAATTTTTCTTATGAAAAATCACTATGCGAACATCTGTGCCCAGAGGGGTTTATTTGCCTTTTTATTGGATAGATAATATAATTAAACAGTGGAAAGGGTCTAAATACCGACCATTAAATGCGGTCATTAAAATGCAATTAAAGTGGGTTAGCTGTTTCATGGCTTTGGTCAAAATAAAGCAGAGTTCCTCAGTCCCCTAAAAAAAGCAATCAGTTCCACGCCTCCTTTCCTTTCCCTTTCCCACAATCAATTCTTTTCAAAAAAAAAAAAAAAACTAGTATTTCTTTGTTTTTTTTACGCACAAAAAATGTACTCTATAAATAATAAAAATTAGGGATAAATGCATCCTGCAACTGAAAAAATATTTTCAAATATTAAATACATCACAAAATATTTTAAGATATTAGGTATCTTTGACAAAATATTTGAGAGTGTTAGACACGTATAAACCCTATAAATTAATCAGAATTTTTTTTTTTGGAGTGTTGAGTTTAGAGGGCAAAAAATTGACCATTCTTTATTAGACAGCTACAGCATTGAGATTGAGACTGAGACTTGAACCACAATCACTCGTTTAAGTAACAAGAGCTCAAGTTTGGAAGAAAAATTGTATGTCTATTTATGTCACTTCAAATTTTAAGATGATATTGATAATTATTTTTTAATTATATCTTATTTTCATTGATTTTAATTATCGAGTGAAAAAGGTATGATTACGTACGGAGAGAAGATAAAATAAAAGGAAGTGGATGGATAAAATTTTTGTATATTACTCTCTCCCTTCCTATTTATAAACAACAATTATCATTCCCTTCTTATTTTTAAATATAAACAATATTTGTTAGTTTCTTAAATTTTTATAGGAAATTTTTTATTTTGCCTCCATTAATTACTTATTTTAATATTTAATATATTTATTATCTCATTTTTTAAACTATCATCTCTTTCCATCCACATTCTTTCTATTTCATAATTCTTTTTATTATAATAATTTTCTTATTCTCTTTCGTACACTCTCTTTTTCATAAATAAGAGTATTTAAAAAAAAGAATTTCTAATTTCTATCTATTTATTATTTTTAACTTATTTTTTGAACAATGTGATAGAGTCCAAAGTTGCTTATAAAAAGAGACAAAGAGAGTAATTTTTAACAAGATAATATTTGTATCGGTAATTTTTGCTTGGCAGTTTTAGATCGCATATACGAACAAAAACAAAAATAAAGATTCATATTTTATACAGAAGAATGAAAATTTATATATTACAAAAATTCATAATACACTGCACAAAGCACCTTTCAACAATTTTTAATTAGGTTATCCTCGTATAAAGAAAGGAGGTTAGCTTTTCCCTGTATTGGATTATCTCGATTTTTATTCTTTACTTTATCATTTTATTACACTTTTACCCCTTGAATTTTTAATTTCAATTTGTCGTTTTAATTTTCATTTGTGCCACATTTGACCTTTGTCTTTGTGTCGTTGAATGTTATATTATTTTAAAACTATGAAAATGTGGAAGGATCAGTTAAGCACTACTAAAGAGTGATTGTTTTTCTTGTCAAAAAAAAAAGAGTGATTGTTTTGAAATTCCATGTGAAATTAATTAAGGAATAAACATGATACAGACTAGGATCTAAAAATTTAATTAAAAGAATAATAGATTAGCCTCTTATAATTAACTGACCAAAAGAAACCAAATCTAATCACAACTCAACAAGTGCCACTATGGTTCATAGGCACTTTTACCCAAACCCTGTAGACGGTAAAAGAATTTACATAAATGTTATAAAATAAAAAGCATTTATCAAAATGTTATATTTCAGAAGAACAATTTTAAATTTTTAAAGAAGTCGTTCACTTGAAGAACGATTTCTTCGTCTGATATTCTTTTTTTCAAATAAAAAGTTGAAATCGTTTGGCAGAATAATGATTTTAACACTGACACTTTTTCCAGTAAAAATTACAACTAAAAACCCACATTACTAACTTTGCCGTCTCCTTCCATTTCATTCTGAATTTTGATGAGAATTGCAATTGACGACCTAATCCCTTTAGCGCATACTTTTTTTTTTTTTATGTTTTCTGCAAAACATGAAAAAATATAAGTATAAATTAATATATAAAATAAACTAAATAAATATAAAATCTGCTTATATTCTCTCTGATCTCAATATAAATCACTTCAACAAATTTATCATAATAAAAAAAGAATGATGGTCAAGTCAATAAATTTGTTTTAGAATGAAATTTTTTTAACTTTCCCATATAAAACGAGGTTTTGGAGGGTGGAAAAAAAAATAAGGATCCTTATTTAAAAATATAAAAAGACTTATTTTATTTAAGCATCAAATACATGGAAAATTTGACAAATCAATATTTTTAGTTACATCCAATATCTTGAAATATTTTTCTAAATGAATCTAGCACTTTGAAGAATTTTTTTGGTGCATCCAGCACCCTAAATTATTTTTTTAAATGCATCTAGCACCATAAAATATCTTTTGGTTGTTAGAAACAATCTCACCCAAGAGGGGGGTGAATTGGGTGAGTTACAAAAATTTCCAATCAAAAACGTGTCAGTATTGAATAAAAACAGAGAGTCAGAGTATGAAGAATTTTAACCGCAGAGAGGAGACACAAGATTTATACTGGTTCGGTCTAAACCACGTGACCTACTTCCAGTCCCCAGAACACCTCTGAGTATTTCACTATCTTCCAAGATCGACAGGGCTCTTGGTGCCTCGGTACAGTAATTGAATCGCTCAATCACTCCCCCTTACTCCCGTAAGGATACAACCCCTCTCAAGAGTCCACACTCTTGAGTGTCACTCAAGTCTTTAATAAGAGTAGTAATTGGCTCTCTTACAGAGTGAATTTAATGATAAACACTGATGCTCGGTAGTAACGTGAAAACAGAGTATTGAATGCGTAACTAAATAATCGCAGGTGGTAGTTCCGGTATTCAATCTCTTCATTAATGCTTCTTCGCGCCTTTTATAGTTGATATCGTTAAGTAGCCGTTAGACGGAAGAGCTTCTAGCCGTTGTGACTTCGTTTGCGTGTTTCGCTGGTTTCAACGGCTCCGCCATTAATGCGTCTGAGCTTCTGACACTGTAGGTCGCAGTCTACGTAATCCCGTTGAAGAGCCGTTGCCCTCGTTTTCATTAATCTGCATATTTTGAGCAAATGAGAGTTTTGTGGTGAATGCTTTAATCTCGAACACAGAGAGAAAACCAATTTATCATTCAAAGATTTGTGACGAAATCATTTATAAGTAAGAAGAACAGAAAGTCATTCTGGTTTAGTTTGATCGAAAAGATGATCGATTACTTGATGATAGATCAAGTTATCGATAAACAGAATGAAGACTTTTCGAATTAGATCACCAATATTATCGATCAAGTGTTGGATCATTGACTCTAAGAATTATCATAGAAAGAGGAAATCGTTCCATGATCGAACAAGTGATCGAATATATGTTTGATCGAACAGATTATCGAAAATTTAAATGTTACTGAAATGAAGCTTCAGTCATTGATGATCGAACATCTTATCGATAAATGTATGATGGATAATGTTATCGATAAACCATGGGTATGTATATATTCAATGAAAGACACAGCTATCTGAAATGATCGAACAGTTGATCGATCAATGAACATTCGAACAAGTGATCGATAAAGTGAAGAAAGAAATTTATCCTTGTAAGACAGAGAAAATGATTATCGATCACGTTTTGTGAAAACATGAGTTCCAGGGAATTGAATGATCGATCATATTATCGAAAAATAGTTCACCATAACTTAATGTGAAAATAGCAATCCTTAGACTCTTTATCGATCATGTTATGTG